CAATGCTAAAAATAGCACACTATTCCAGTTGATGGTGTATAACGACCAGCAATAGTGAGTAGTTCAGGAAACTAGTCTGTTTTTCATTCAAATGTCACCAAGAGGCTAGGCAAAGCAACGGCATGAGGCTACGATGGAGCTCGGTAGCTTGAATAGCTGCTTTTTAATCCATACAATCTTTCTTGTCTAGTGTCGCATAACCAGGAGGAAGGGAATATATGTGAACTGATCGGCCCAGTCGCTTCCCTGAAGGCAGTGGGCACGATTGCTGGTGGCGGGACATTTGTCGCCAACGTCATTGGTGGAAGGGCTGATAAAGGTGGGGCCAAATGACCTCTCGCAGCTATTCCACCAATGACACTGGCAACAACCGTCTGCCTCCAGCAATCGTGTTCTTTGCCATCAAGGCGGCGCCACCGGGTCACTGCTTTCGCCCAGATTTTTATAGGAAATTTCAGTGTTGATCCTCTTGCTCCTCGCTTAATGCCTTCAAAAAAATATATTTTTTTCAGTTTGTTACCCAATGACGGCAACTATTCTTTCGACAATTTCAAGTTCTACTTGAATTCACTCATAAATAATTCTACCTATCGACAATCTTATTCAAGTGGACATACGAGAATTGACACGTAGGTTTAGAATGATTCTTCGCCTACCACTCTACCTATTAATCTATACCTCTTTCAGAGCATTCGATTTCCTCACCAGAGAAATGAATATTCAACAGCTTCGTAAACCGTTCTTCCAGAGCAGTGTACTGTTCGCAGGACAAGCCAAGTAAGTACAATGAAAATAGGAATAAAGTTTGAAATAAAGTTATAGCCGGGGCTTATCAGCAAGCCACCGTCCCTCCCCTCTTCTCCTGCTCGTCGACGACATCTTTGCGAGAGAGTTTTCGACTGGTTAAGTTGAGTAGGGCGAGGGTGCGTGGTTTACGGACAACTTGAACTCAATCCCTTTGAACGCGTCGATCTTCTCTTTTTCTCTGCACTCTCTCGTCCGCATGGCACTCTATGGCCGTTGTGACTTCGCTCACTCCAGCTTTTCACCGACTATAAGTAGCTCACCCACCCCGGAGTCCCCTCCCCTTGAAAAATCCCGTTTCCTGGCTCGCCATACGTTTTTTGCACGTTTCGATGCTTTGGCAGCCGCTGCCCTCTATCCGTCTGCGTCACAGGGTTTCGTAACAGGACCATGC